CCCCCCCCCCCCCCCCCCCCCGTGGCTCGCGTGCCTGTCCTTAAACGTATGTTTTCGCGCGCGTTTTGTTGTTCGACAGTCGGAGATGGTGTCGCAGACAGTCCTGCGTTGCAAGGTTCCGCCCGGGCCAGGTGTCGACGGCACGGGGCCAGTCCCCATCCACGTCGAGGTTCCCTCGCGCTCGCTGATTGGCATGCGTCGCACCAGCAGCGCCAGCAGCGTGGCGTTCGACTCTGGGTCTCGCGGGCGGCAGCAGGGGGGAGATATGTTCGAGTACCGGTGCCCCGCGAACAGCCCGTCTGGGTCTTCCGCTGCCCCAACAATAAGCCGCAGCGGAACGCCTAGGGTGAGAAAGAAGGGCCGTGTTGAATGAGGTCGTTTCGGAAGGGCGGAATCCGACGTGTTACTGTTTGTTTTGACTGGCGCAACGGATTGGAAAATTCGTGCTTTGCGTCTTTTCGTGTCGGGCACCACGCACCACGCGCCGCCTTGCGCTCTCGCTCGCACGCAGGTGTGTTGGTGCGCGGTTGTTGGTTGGCAGTTTGTGGGTGGGGTGGTGCCCATGCTATCTGAGCGTCGTTCTGATGCACAATATTGTCGTACCTTACCCGTTCGTTACGGGGTCTTTCTCCGTTGTCGAACCACTGCTGCTTTCTAGTGTGGCACAATATCCGTCTCTCCTGACTGCATGAGATCCGCCGAACACTACTTCCCGACGCATGCATGCGACTCAGCAACTGATGCTCGCGTCCACCCGTTTCGTCCGTCCTCTCACACCCTACACAATGCCGTACACCAAACATGGACGCAGACTCCGGCCAAGCGGCTTACCTGGCACGAGACGAAGGAAGACCTCGCCGCCGCTGGTGGTCAGGGCCTCGGAGTGCGCAAGCGAGACTGGGGCGAGGTTGCCGGCGCAGGCGCCTCCTCGTCCCCGATGGAAACGGTGTTGCCCTCCCCGATGGCGGCCTCCTCCTCCTCCTCGCCCTTCGGGGCGCTGCACAACCAGCAGGGCCGCCGCCCCCCTCCCCGCAGCAGCACGCCCCGCGAGAGGGAGACCCCTTCGTGGGTCTGCAGTGGCGACGCCGGGGGCGGGAAAGTCGCCGGGCGGGACTCCCTCGGCTCGAACCGTCGCGCGGGTGGTGTCGGCGGTGTTGGCGGCAGTTCGCGAAGAGGCCACGCCGGCGCGGCGTGGCGGCGGGCGTCTGCGGACCTCGGGCAGACGGCGGCCGCCGCCACCGCTTCCGCCGGCGCCGGCGCCGCGGCAGAATCGGGGGAGGACAGCCTGGGCTACCCGCTCCTGCCCTGCGACGGGAGGGAGTGCAAGATTCGCATCGTGGAGAGGCTCGACCAGATCAAGGGCTCCCGCGTGTCGGGCGCCGATTCGGAAGCGCCGGCAGGAGGTGCAGGCTCTGGCGCGTTCGTCCAAGGGATTGTGGGCACAGCTGCCGGTGGCGGCGGGGACGGCGGTGCGTGGCCGAAGATCGGCGGTGGTGCGCAGCAGCAGGTGTCCTCGGGCAAGGTGGGGGGTTCCCCTTCCGCGCCCGGGGGGCTTGTGCAGCCGGGCGTCGGGGGCGGGGCGGGAGGCGGAGAGCTTGACGATTCGGAGCTTAGCAAGCTAGGAGACAGAGAGCTCGAGGACCTGCTAGAGCAGATGTGGATGCAGGTCATGGGGCAGGTGAGATGGACAAGAGGGGAAGGCGTAGGAACGCCCAGTTCGCTGTGGGTCGGAACGGGGCGTGCTCGGCTGGGGCAGGTGGGGCATTCGGCTGAGCAAGCCGATGAAGGGAGGGCTTGTGGGGAAAGTCGGCGGGGGAGCAGACATCATTTTCTCCTCGCGTCCGTTTTGTCACATGGTAGTGTCTGTCCGCGCGAATTCATATGATTTCACTTCGCCGGACCAGCGAGTTGGGCTTACGTTGATGGCTGATACAAACGCTGATACAAACCACAGGTAGATAGACCTTGCCCTGACCGCCACGTGTTTTGTTCCATGGCGTTTTCTCTCATGGAGACACAGCGGTCGGCACAAGGAGCTCGATCGCGAGGAAATGAGATTTGCATGCATGCTTGGATTTGAAACCCCGTACCCGCACAATACATGCAGATTTGACGAAAGGGAGGTCGTTACTTACCTTCAATTTTTTTGCGGGAGGGGGCTCCCTTCTCCATTGTGTGCTGGCTCAATCGCCCGAATCCGTTGCGTCATTCGGTATCTACACCGTAAAATACAAAGACGAAAGAAGTATAGGCTGTGTCGAGAGGGCTTGCAACGTTTTTCTCCCACGCAGTGCGCTAAAAACGCTGGGGATTTCCCGCGAATCTCCCCCCCCCCCCGATTGTTGTTTCTTAACGCGTTCGTGATGCCCCGTTCCCTGTGATTCGGCGACCCCTCAGCTCACTGATCTGGAGTCCGAGCTCAACGCCTTAGACTCTCGAGGTTTCAGCGTCCTGCACTACACGTGTCTGCACAACCTTGGCGCACTCGTTCCGGTACTGGTTGAGAGGGGTGCGGACGTGAACCTTCGGACTGGAGACGGGAAGAAACAGGTGAGGAGGACAGAATCAAGCACGACGAGATTTTGATTTTCTGGACAAATTCTCTCCGTTCGGGTTGGCTCTTTTTTTTTCTTCGGGTTGGCTTTACCCGACGTTATTCATCAACCCGGAGTAGTGTTCTTCCTCTGGGTGTTAGTTGGAGCAGACGTTTTGGCTGACTTGGGTCAAACTCGTCTTGTTGAGAGTGTTTTTTTTCGTGTTAAAGAAAAGCTCGATGCTTCGGGTTGATATTGCTAGCATCTTCTTTCTTGCTTGTTACCGTTTCTTGGAGGCCGTGTAAGAACGTACCTGGTGGGGGGAAATGCTCGGCACGTTGGCCGCTGCGTTTTCGGTGGTGTGTCAAATTGCGTGATTGCGCTCTCAGTCTGTGCTGATCTATCTCACCCCATTTTGTTCACCCTTTCGAATGTTTGTTTTTGCGGTTGAGTAGGCAATGGTGGACGGTGTTGTTATTAGTAGATCTATCTCAGCGGGACGCTTGAAGGCTATTGCCGTCCCGTGTCTGATCTGCCTCGTTCACCTGTTGCTTCCGACTTGTTTGTTTTGAAATCGCAAATAGACTCCTCTGCACTTGGCAGCCAGAGGCGGGAGCATCGGCATCGTTCAAGAGCTTGTCAAGCAGGGCGCGATGGTAGATGCAGCCGACTCCGATGGGCTCACGGCGGGTAAGTCTGTGCGCGTGTGCATGCGTACGGTTGTGTCATTCGTTCACCTTCCCGTCCGTTCCTCCCTCGCTTGTCGTTGAGCAGGACGTGATATGGCGCATCGTTTCGGAGTTGGGTGAACGTTGACTCAGCAGTCGTGGCGGAATCCCCCAACTCTTCGAGTTTGAGGTTGTCGCCGTATGCAACTTGTGTTTGTGTTGTGAAGTTGACGTGACTTGGCGGATAAAACACCTTGGCTATTAGCGTCCAAGATAGACGTATTGACCAGGAGGCCACAAGGTTGGTTGTGTGTCGATCTCTATTGAGCTCTCACTCTGTGCCGCAAGAGCTGGGGGTAGCGGGAGGTGTCTGACGTGGGTTCTTGATGATATTTCCTTAGAAGCCTCTCTCTCTCTCTCTCTCTCTCCACGGGTGAACGGGGCACGTTTGCGACCACCGCACCTGCAAGCAGCGGCGCACACGGCGATGCAGGTTTTTCTCAGTTCCCTGGTCCCAATGCCCATTCCTCTCGTTCAGCCGTGTTTGTGCATACCGTGCATGCATGAACCCGTGTGTCCCGCCCGGCCTTACCGTCTGCCCCCGCAAACGACACGCAGACAAGCTGGCCACTCGCTGCAACAAGCAAGACATGGCTCTCTGGCTCTGGTCAAAGAGCGGCGCGGCATCCGCCGCCACCGCCGGTGCCGGTGCCGGTGCCGCCGGGCACCCCAGCAACTTCAACAGCAGCGGCAGCGGCGGCGGCGTTGGGCAAGGCTCCCCGTCCACCCCCGGACTGATGCCACCTTGGACAGGCGGCGTCTCCCCCGCGAGGGGCGCTTGCCCGCCGTCCCCGTGCCCCCCGCCCTCGCCCTGGGGGGTCGGTGGAGTCGGTGAAGGGTGGTACGCGCCCGGCGGGGCAGCGGGAAGCTCCTCACAGCAGCAGCAGCAGCAGCAGCAGAAACAGAAGCAACAGTCGTTGCCGTCACCGTCGCCGCGCCGCTCGCTCAACGGCACTCCCCCGCGCAGGCCAGTCGACGGGACCCCTCCGCTTGACCGGGCGTCCAGCGCCGGCATCGTTGGGTTTTCCCCGCGGCACCACCCTGCGGCGGGCGCCGTCGGCGGTGGCGTCGACAACTGCACGAGGGGCGCCGCAGCAGCCGATGGCGGCGTCGGCGGCGCTGCGGCCGACGAGGCGCCCGCGCTGTCGTCTGGGTGGGGAAGCCCGAGCCCCGCGAGCACGGGAGGCGTGAACGCAGCCGGGGTGCTGGTGGGAGGCGGCGGGGACGATTGTGCGGCGGGAGGGAAGTCGGAAGACGGCCCGTGGGGACTCGGTATTCCTCCACCTGGGGGAGGCGGTGTCAGCGGAGGTCTCGGTGGTGCCGACAGTAGTGCCGACATGGGGGAGGCCGTCCACGCGAGCGGTGACAGGGGGCACGACGGCTGGGAATCGGATGAGGGGGACCGCGAGAACGGGGGCTCGACGGAGCAGCTGCTCCAGGACGCGTTCGCGAACCTCAGGTGAGCTCTTTTCTTTTTTCGGGACAAGTCTGTTTGTTTGCCGGAAAATGGTAGGTTGGTACGGCGGTGTTGGGTTTTGATGTTGCAAGAGTTTTTGTGGAAGATGAGCATGATATTCTAACAGGCTGCCGTTTGGCTGTTGAAGGGATACGTGGAAAGCACAATCTCGAGGAGCGTTGGGTACCAAGTCCTCTTAAGAGGGTACGCCAAGTGGGGCAAAGTTCACCATCGAACGTTGAGGCTCCGATTTGTGGGAGCGGGCTTGCAGAGACAGCGGGCGTTGAGCTTTCATGGGCTTGTCGATTGAGAGAAGGACCCGGCCGGTCGACATGTTTATTGACAATCTGCCTCCAGTTATTACTGACTCCCCCCCTCCTCCCCCCCTTTGCTTTTTGTTTTTGCACGGCGAGCAGTTTGCACGAGAAGTGTGCGCTGTCACTGCACGTTTCGCACCAGCAGCAGGGGGCCGCGGGCAAGGATGCCGGTGCCACCGTTGGCAAAGACGCGTCCGAGGTATGCACGCACGCGTACCCGAATAGCGTGCATTTCTCCGTCTCTTCAAGAAATCACGCCAAGTCTTGTAATAGCATATATCAACGATGACTCGATGAAGCAAGCAGCGGGGGTGGCAAGCAGGAAGGGAGTTGGGTTGTTCCCTTGTATTGCACCCGGCACCATCGTGCTTCAAACATTCGCGTTTGAAGATCGGCCCCGGCCGGTGTCGGGTGTTTAACAACGAGACCGCCACCATTGACCAACCACATCGCTCACTCCATCGTCCATCAGTTGACCTAGTTTTTTTTTTTGTTTCGCTGCCCTCCGCCCCTGCTTTTCCCTTTTGTTCCCTTTCGCTCGCAAAACTCCAACCTCAGCTCTCCGGGATGTCGAAGGAGCTTGCCGGCGTCGAAGAGCGCGGCTTGCGGGAGGAGGACCTCCGCGCGATCATGTCGATGATGGGGCCCTCGGACTTGAGCGAGGTGGAAGACGAGGTCAAGGTCATCCAGCAGAACTTCAGGGCGTGGATCTTGCGGTGCAACTACAAGAGCCTCAGGAAGGCGGCCAAGACTCTGCAGGTGGGTGGCCCGTGGCGGTTGGTGGTGGTGGTATTCAGGCCGCCGCTGCTGCTGCTCCTGCTGCTGCTCTTCGCGAGCGATGATCGATGGAGT